GTGGGACAGCTGCTTCCAGATCTGAATCACACAGGCCAAAATCTTTATGAAAATCTTCCCAAAGCAATGTTGGTAGTTAGGTAAGATTTAATGACCAAATATTAACAGCTATTAAAATTCAAGAAGTGTTTGCTGACGTGTTGTAAATTCAGCAAATGCTTGTCTCGTTTCTGCCTTGGGTCTGCTGAGGAGCCCCACACAGAAGTGGGTACAGACCGTGTGTGAGGTGGAAGGCCCCACAGAGGGACGGGCGGACGCTGAGGGAGCCCAGAGGGTGGGGTGGGACAGGGAAAGTTCTAGAGAGATGACAGGTGGACTGGCCATGATTTAGGGCAAGACAGGGAGAGGAGGATGTCCCAGGAAGAGGAAGGAGCCAGGCCTGAAGGTGCAGGACCAGTCAGGTTAGGCAAGTGTTTAACTACCAGTGTTTGGATGGGAGAACGGCTGGTGCTTATGAAAGGCTGCGTCATCTGGAACTGAGTCTATAGTGAGTGATGGGTGAGCCCATTCGTGGTTTTAGGTGGACAAGGGAGCTTGCATTTTAGAAAGATTAGTGGTTGCTGGTGCTCAAGGCACAGGTAGGGTGCAAATAGGAGGAGACGAGGCCACTGCCTTCTCCCCGGTGAGATGGTGCCATGGTCTTAAACGGCTGGACATGGGGAGAGAAGATTCCAGAGACTTGCAGGGAGAAAACCAACTGCACTTGGTAACTGAAGGGGTGAGGGAGAGCCGAGTAGAGGATGGATCCAGACTTCTGGCGTAATGGCTGATGCTCTTTACGGCTTTCACCTTTCAAGTCTTGGCTTGCTAGTCACTGGAGTTGGTTCCAGATTCTCTTATGTATGTTTAAGCTCAGCTTCCTCTGAGCTCAGTCAGCGGGAATTGTCCTGAGGGACCCACTGCAATTGAGGCGATCTTATGCTTTGTTATCAGGTGACTCCTCTGTTTTGGCCATCTTGCTCACTGTTCCCATGTGCTGATGGCCCTGGGAGCTGAGTGTAGACTTCCAGGTTGGGACGGTCGTGGTGGTGGTCATGCCAACAGTGCAGTACCTGGCACTTACCTCATCCCATCCTCCTACCAACTAGGAGCTAGGTCTTATTCAGAACTCGATTTTGCAGGGGAGGAAACCAAGATAAATACCGCTTATGTTTTGCTCTTGAGGGGCAGAGCCAGGAGTCTCTCCGTGTCCTGTGGCCCCACAGCACCCCTTCCTGCCACCAGGTCTGCGAGAGGGAAGATGAGCTTTGGGTTTGAAATTAGCCAGATTGTGGAGACCTGAGCGGGGTCGGCCTCGTAAAGAGCCTGACAATATAGACTCTCTGTAAACCCTGCCTTTCTTTTGTGTAACACAGATTTAAAACACATCACCGTAAACACATACACCGAATCCATTAGAACTCCCCACACACGGTGTCAGATGTCTTTAAAGGTGAAATTCGTTTACAGGAAATGTCATTCTGATCAAGTACGCTTTTTAAAATCACAGAAACAGTTGCCTTAAAATTAATGATGCATTGCAAATATCAGGGAAAAAAAGACCCATTCAGTGTAAAGATGATTAAAATTCAGGTCAGAACTCTGACTTAGTCAGGCTAAATTTTTTAATGAGATTTCAGAAAATTAATTGGGCGGATGCATTTTTATTCTTTTAACATGTAATTTTATGCTCCTAGTTTTTTTTTTGTTTTTTTTTAAGGGGGGATTTGTCGATGGCTGAGGCTTATTGTGGTTCAAACATTTTAAACTCAAATTAGCACAGGGTGGGAGGTGTTTGTGGCCTAATTTGATCTGACTTGGAGAAGAGAGCCTGGGTTTCTCGGAGCTTTCTGGGGTGGTTCACCAGCACACAACCCGCCCCCCTTTTCCAGCCTTGACCTGAGAAGCCTGGCAGCATTTCTTGGTGGGGGTGGGTGCGATTGGGGATAGAGGTGACCTGGGGACCTTGGCCCTCTCCTTGGCCCCTTGTTCTGCCGAGCCTCTGCTGTCCAGGGAGTTGCTCCCTGAGGCTCCTCCTCTTGCTGAGATGGCTTCTCCCCCACCACGGGGCAGTGCGGACCCCCTTCTTCCCCCCACTGTGGCTGGCAGCGGAGCGTGGTCAGCATCACTCCCGCCGCCTCCCAGCTTCTCCCCCGACCTGCTCTTCCTCTGGGGGAGAACTGAGGGGCTCTCACCCTGCGGAATGGGGCTGAGGAGTCAGAAATGGCTTCCAGCAGCATTTGCCCTGCGAGTGGCCCACCCTAGACGGGGAGGCGAGGCGAGCCTGTTGTCTAGCGCGGTCCCTTGGCAAACAGTCCTGGATGACCCGTGCAGGGGACAGTGACGTCAGAAGGCCACAGGGGCTTTACTGCAGTCAGGTGACGGGTCAATGACCTCTCTGAGCCTCGCTTCCTCATCTGTAAAATGGGGCCGTGAAGACTAAGCGAGATGGAATACTTCAAACCCCCAACATGGCGTCTGACGTCATGGGTGTCATCGGTCTTATTCTTTGACTTCAAAATTCATTTCAGTTTTCACAGCCAAAGAGCCCCAGTGCAGACCCTCAGTGGGGTGGGGATGGTGGGGATGGTGGTACAGCCACTGAGAACTCCCTGCCTCGGCTTGTCCCCAGCTCCCTGGGAGGCAGGTGCAGCCCTGGTCCTCGCCCTGCAGACTGAGTGACGCCGACACCCCTCATGACAGTAACACCATACAGCATCTCCCAGGTGCCTTCATTCAGTAACTTACTTACCCCCCGGCAGCCCTCGGAAGGAGGCCCTGTGATCACCTTAATTGTACACGTGAGGAAACTGAGGCACAGAGTGCTTGTCCACAGCCCCCAGCCAGCACGTGGCAGATCCGGGATTTGAACCCAGGCCTCTGCACCCCCCGTGTCAGTGTCTCAGCTGAGGGAGCCGGAGCGGCGGTCACCCGACTTGGAGTTCCCCCCGGGCTGATGCTAATTTTCCCAGGAGCCAGCATGGGGTTCCAGGCGGAACAGGGGCTCGTGAGGACTATGAGATGAGCAGTTTTCAGAAAGGCCATCAGGATTACTGCCTTTGGGCGGTGTAGTGCGAGCTGCTCAGGGCCAGCCCCGAGTTTGCCGGGCAGCTCAGAGCTCCTGGGACCCTTGGCACCAGGATCACATCCTGGAATCCTCGGAGAAATCCCGGGGCTGATACTGCTGACGTCCCCCTGTTGTGGACGGACTCCCTCGGCTGCAGGGGCCAGAGTGGAGCTCGCTGAGGGCTGACCCGGGAGGGGAGGAAGCCCTTGGAGGTGGCAGTGGAGAGAGGCCTGGCCTTAGGGACCAGAACTCCGATCACCTTTTCCTCTTGCACTCACAGCCCCTGAGTTACTTCGGAGCCTGGGCCCTCCTGGCTCGGGCACTGCGCCCTGTGTCCTGCGCTGCCCCCCGCCTGAACAGAGGGCATCGGGGGGGACAGGACCCCGTGCCGACCCCTGTGAGGGTGCTGTGTCCCCAAACATGCCCAGGCTGCCCCCCTCCCACGTGGTGCTGCTGCAGGAGGAACCTCCCCCCCCTCCCCAGGAGCTCATTCCTCTAATTAGGTCGCATGGGTTGTGACAGGAAATGCAAATCTGGGTCATCGCATATGCAGAAGTGCCACTGGAGTCTTAGGATGCCAGCTGGGATGTCGCCCCCCATCCTCCCCCCATCCTCGGGGAGTTTCCTCAGGGCAGCGTGGCCTTTGGGGGCACATTTCTGGGGTGGACAAGGGACTCCAGCCACTAGTGACAGTGAAAAGCCCAGTGTTTGCACAGCAGGGACCCTAGGAGATCACGTCCTCCAAATGCTTCACTGTCCCAGGGGGGAAACTGAGGCCCTGAGAGGGGAGGAGCCCTGCCCAGGGCGCCTCTCAGCAGAGATCGGCGGGGAGTTCAGGTCTCAGCTCCCCAGGGACCAGCTGTGTGACTGTGCCTCAGTTCCTTTCTTTATGATGTGGGATGAAACGCCTTGCTTGACAAGGCTGTTAGGAGGTTGCTGCCACAAAACCTGTGTAAGCAGCTAGCGGGTGACTGTCGCGTGGGGGGCGCCTGCTAGCCCGCGGCCGAGCCGTCAGCTCCACGGGCATGCGCGATCCGAGCCGTCAGCTCCACGGGCATGCGCGATCCGAGCCGTCCCCTCCGCGGGCATGCGCGATCCGAGCCGTCCCCTCCACGGGCATGCGCGATCCGAGCCGTCCGCTCCACGGGCATGCGCGATCCGAGCCGTCCGCTCCACGGGCATGCGCGATCCGTGCGCGTGTGAGGAAGTCGCCTTCTTTTGACGGGGTGGGATTTCGGCTGCACCCCGAAGGGACAGTGGCTGCATCCCAAAGGCCCACAGCACACCAGGCCGTCGGGAGCACGTTCCTTCTCCTTCGTGTCATTTGACAAACATGCCCCGAGCAAGAGCCTCCGCTCAGGGGACACGGAGGGGACAAAGACAGGGGCGTGCTTTTGGAGAGGCCCATGTTTGGGGGGCAGGGTCTCAGGTGCTTGGAAGAAAGAAGCCCGCTGAATCAGGAAGCACAGACCTGGCTAGTCATGGGGTCTTGAAGGAAAAGCAGAGGAAGAATCTGAGTTGGGAGACCACCTGGTAGAGCTCAACGGGTGGAAACTCCAGAGTCCCCAGTCCCGGGTTCAGATCCCTCCCATTACTCACTGTGAGGTTTGGAGCCGATCACTGCCTCCCCTCCGAGCCTCAGTTTCCTGAAATATGGGGATAATGGTGATGCCTACTCACCGGGTCATGGGGAGCGTTCTGCACGGTGCCCGGCACACAGTAAGTGCTCAATAAATGCTCGCTCTTCTTACATGGGTGCTTAGTATATAGGGAGGTTAATTGCTGTTACTAAGGAACTCACTGGACAGACGCTGGTGTGCGGTGGATGAGAATGTGGTCTTCCTTCTCCACCAGCCCTCCCTCCTGCTAAGCCCCCAGTAGGGAGCCGCTTCAAATCCCTCCCCAGGGTGGGTAATTCTGCCTCAAGACTTCAGAGTCAAGGTTGGCCTAACCCTTACCTTGCCGAGGGAAGGAGGCAGCAGGCTGTGAGGCTCAGACTTCCATCACTCACTCCTGGCAGCGGGGTTTCCTTGGCACAGGGCTGGGTCTGCTCAGGTTCAGAAAGGCCGAGAGTGGGAGTGAGGACTAGCTGCTCAGGGCCCCTCTCTCCTGCTCCAAACCCCGCCTGTCAGTCATAAGGACCACTGAGCACCTACTGTATGTGTGTGGGGGGGGGAAGCTCAGCAATCTCACGTGATCCTTACAGCGACCCTATGAAACAGGCATGCTTCTATACCTCTCCGCCTTGCAGACAGGGAAATGGGGCAGAGTGGCTTGGGTAACTGCCCCAGATCACCAGCCAGGGACCCAGGAAATATGCGTAAGGAAATACATATAAGGATACTTATTGCAACATTATTTATAGCGACAACAGATTGGAAACAAGCTTACTGTGGCGTATAGTCTGGGGTTATTTAAATCCCTGTCAATTGACAATGTCCATCAGTTACTGAGAGAGGGAAAAGCAAGTCTCAGAGTAATGTGTTCACACAATTCTGGGTGTTTAAAAAGTACACCATCTCCATAGATGTGAATATTTACTCACTCGACAAATGTTTATTGAGTGCCTGCCGCATACGAGGCACCATATTGCCGGGCGTACCTGCCGGTGGTCGGGAGACGGACAGGTAACGAAGTAAAATACAGGATTTGGAACGCTGGAAGGTAGCAGTGAAGAAGGAAGACGAGCCGGAAGCGTGGGAGGGACAGAAACGGCAAGGCTTCAAGGGACGGTCCAGGCAGAAGGCCCAGTGAGAGCAAAAGAGGTTGGTCAGTGTGGAAGGAGCAAAGTGAGCGGGAGAAATTAATAAAGCAGCAGGATCGCAGAGGTGCGAAGAGCCTGGGTGGTCGGATCACGTGGGGTCTTAAAGGCTTCGTAGGTGGTCGTGGGGTGAGGACTTTAGTTACTGGGTTTTTAACTTTACTGAACCTTACCACGATGGCGTGTGTTTTCCCTCATCCGTGCCCATTTCACGGTTTAAACTGAACACATTCGTGTAGTAAAGACAAAGAAGGAAAACATGGAAGTTGATTAAGAACAGACATCCTGAATAGGATGCCACTCACACAGGGCTCCCCAGGCTCCTGCCAGGGCTTCTTTGTCTACAGGTTGGTATTCGGGTGAAGGAGAGTTCCAGAATGCAGCCCAATAAAAGACCTCATCTTTCACCCCCGTGCGTGCTTCCGGCCCAAGTCTGGAAGAGGCCTTTTCACATTGGGAAATTCACACTTGTCCTTCCTGCTTCAGTGGGGCCCTCAGTGTTTCTCGTCCCACCCCCATTTCCCCCAATGAACTCCGCAGATGTTTCTGTACCCATACTACACGCGAGAGCCTGTCCTTGCACTAGCACCCAGCCCGGAGGGTCCCCAGCGGCAGCGATCCCCTGCCTTGGAGTGGGGGTGGGGGCTGTAACAGGAGGAGGGCCCACTTTGCCAGGCGGACGCGGGGCAGACCAGAGCCGTGGCCTCCTCCCCTCCTCCCCCACGTTCCAGGGCCCGAGTGGGCACCCCTTCCTCTCCTTCTCCCCAGGGCACGTTGCACGTGTGTTGTGGAGACGGTAAGGGGGTACCTCACCGGGCAGCTCCATCCCGGGGCAGGCCCTACTCTCCATGGTGGGTTTCAGCGTTGGCCCCTGGAGAGTCAGCGTTAAGTGTCTGGATTCCTCATGTCACCGTGAAGGGGGCTGTTTATCCAAACAAGGGCTCAGAATGGTAAGGCTGCAGATGGATGCTCAGTTTTCTCAAGTTCGAGATGGGAGCCCCAGGAGGGGAAGTTGCCACATCTGATGACAACTTGCAGGGGGAGGGTTGGGGCCGGGAAGACCCAGCAGGGCCTCCCCCTTGTTGTGTGACCTTGACGGGTCACTCCCTTCACCCCTTAATTGCCCTGCTCTATTTGCTGGCTCCGACCTGGGCATAAGGGATTCAGAAGTGAGCAGAACCAGCAAGGCCCTGGCCCCGGGGAGCCGCCTTTCTGGGAGTAGGAGATAGAAACAAGCAGACTAATGAACGATCGGGTAATGAGGGATGGTGGAAACCCGTGGCCTCGGTTTCCCATCTGCAGAGTGGGGGTGTCGTGGCGTGGAGTCTCTGACGGTGAGGTTGGCAGTCCCAGTCCCTCCTTCACCTTGGAGGAGCACTGCTGGGGTTGCCAGGTTCTGGAAGGGGCCCTGGCTGCCCACATCCTGGCCCCTCACTGCAGCCTGGCTGGCCACTAATGTCCTCTGTCCCCCTTCTCCAGAGGCACCCAAACACCCTGTCTTTTCGCTGCTCACTGGCCGACTTCCAGATTGAGAAGAAGATAGGCCGAGGACAGTTCAGCGAGGTGTACAAGGCCACCTGCCTGCTGGACAGGAAGACAGTGGCTCTGAAGAAGGTGCAGGTGAGCCAGCGCCCCCGTGGGGTCAGAGCCTTCTGTGTCTAAACATTGTGGCCCTGGGCCAGTTCCTGCCCCTTCCTCCTCCTCCCCTTCCTCTGCAGTCAGGACCCAGCTCTCTGGGCCGTGGGAAGGATTAGGTGGGCTCCTGATGACAAAAGCTCATGCAAGCCATAAAGGAAAAGGAAAATGAGCATGCACTGAACACCACTGTATACTGGGTCGTGCCCTGAGAACGGTCCTGTGGGTGAGGGTGGTCACCCCATTTTTCAGATCAGGAAAGCTGCAGAGGTGTATCTATCTCACCGGGCCCACCGAACGAGCTGAGGGGGAGCTCAGACTTAGACCTGCACCCACTCACCCTGGGCCCTACACTTGATGGTCGCCTCTGGGCTTGAGAGCCTTTCCTGGCCTCCGTGTTCCTCCTAAACGAAGGAAGGAGCTCAAGCAGGTGAATCATCAGCCGCAGAGTCCAGCCAGGAAGCGTTTCAGTGAGAGCCACTGGGCCCATTTGAACGGGGCTTTGCCTCAGGAAGTAGCTTTAAATCCTCCCACAGAGCTTCCCGAGACCTCAGTTTGCTCATTTGTCCTTTAAGAATGAGATGAACAGCCTGGGCTGAGGAGGCCAGGGAGAGAGAAGGTGACGCAGACGCAGCCACAGGTGGGGAGCCAGGCAGTGGACCTGCACGATGGTTTCCTTGCTGGTCTGCAAACCGCACAGGCGGGTCCAGGTCGCTGGAGGAGAGACGGGCCCCTCCGCTGGGAACAGGCCCATTTGTCTTCCAAGGAGGGCCTCGCCTGGCTCTCTTTGTCCTGCTCTTTTTTTTTTTTAAGATTTTATTTATTTATTTGACAGAGAGAGACACAGTGAGAGAGGGAACACAAGCAGGGGGAGTGTGAGAGGGAGAAGCAGGCTTCCCGCAGAGCAGGGAGCCCGATGCGGGGCTCGATCCCAGGACCCTGGGATCATGACCCGAGCCGAAGGCAGACACTTAACGACTGAGCCACCCAGGCGCCCCTTTGTCCTGCCTTTTTGTGCCATGATGGGTTTTGGGAGTTCCAGTCCTTGTGGCTCCCAGTGGGGGCTCTGGGAGCTGGGTTTTAACCACTCTTTCTCTTTTTCCTCTCGCCCAAGATATTTGAGATGATGGACGCCAAAGCCAGGCAGGACTGCGTCAAAGAGATTGGCCTCCTGAAGGTGAGTGCCCTGGGCTGAGCAGGAGCCCCTCGCTTCCTTGAGGTGGCCCGGTCCCCAGACCGGGCCACCTCATGGCCTTCACAGCCCGTAGCCTGTTAGATTCAGAAACAACAGCCTTTTGAGGGTAGTGGCTCATTTGTTTTCTCATGGTTGGATGGGCGTGGACCCCACCTCACGTCTGCCCAGCCCTCGTGGCACCCCCAGGCTGCCTGTCCTGGCCCCACATTGGTTGTGTTTATGGACGGCAGTGCCTGGCACCAAAGTCCTTCCCCTGAGGGCACCAAGTCGCTGCCACCCAGGAGATGCTCCACTCATCTGGGTGACTCAGCAAGGCCAGCCTGGGACGCTGGAGAGGATGCACAGCCAGGTGTGCGGCCCAGGTTCCTGGTGCCCAAGGGACCCAGGTTGTCATCCTGTTGGGCTCTTCCCAGGCCTCCCCAGAGAGGAGGCACACTGGAGGGGCTTGTACAAAGGACAGACCTACCAGGGCACCTTGGGGTGGGGGATGGTCTTTCCTTCCCCCTCCCTGCCAGCTTCCTCATGGGTTTCCCCACAGTCAGAGACAATAGAACTTTCTGGACTAGATTCAGCCCCAGCCTAGGGCTGCTCCCTCCTGGAGATCCCTCCCTGTTCCCCAGGCTTGGGATTCTGCCTGGGGTCTCAGAGGTGATGGAGGAGGAGGAATGGTACGGGTTTTGGAGGCCCAGGAGCCTGAGTTCAAATCCTCATGTCTTCATTTACAAGCTGTGTGACCTTAAGCAAGTGACTGAGCCTCCCGGAGCCTCCGTTTGCCCATCTGCTTGGTGGTGAGAGTACCTGCCGCACGGGATATGGGCAGTTAGAGAAGATTAAATCATATCTGAAGAGATGAAATAGTACCTGGCCCAGTAGAGCGTGCAGCAGGCGCTCACTCGGTGTTCGCCCTCTCCGTGAGACGGAGGGCTGGCTCCGCAGCTTCCCGCACAGTGAGGCTGCTGGTGGGGAGGACACGGACCCCTACCGCAGGATTCCAGATTAGCGGTTTGCACTGCGGGGTCCGCCCTGGGCTCTCAGGCCCGGTCCCCTCCGAGGCAGTGAGGAGCAGGCCAGCAGCCCGGTCTGGGGGGCTGTGGGAGTGGGGCCGGCCGACCCGGGCCCAGGGAGTGCCGGAGAAGCCCCACAGAGGCCAGGGTCCCGTCCCAGAATCTGGAAGGCCGACAGGAGCCTGCTGCAGGGGTCCTGATGGTGTGCAGTTAGGCCTCGGACACCACACTCAGGAGGTGGGACTTGAACGTGGGAACAACAGGGGAGCCCCTGAAGGGGCTGAGAGCAGGGGGCATGGGGCCCCATGTGACTCGTGAGCACTTGCTGGGAGGGGACCCTGGCCACAAGGGCTCGCAGGGAGGATTATCGGGAAGTGTCCTCAACTCTATCATGGGTCCAAAAATTCCCTTCAAATAACATTTTTAAAATTTTACGTGATGGTCAACTTTGG